TGGTGTTTTGCAAAACTCTGGCACGGGGCAGGCGCGCAAAGGGGGTGGACTCGGAGGAGAGGGGCGGGGTTGGCTGGGAAAGCCGGGGCGGGGAGGTAGTTTGAAGCGGATTGGGTGTTGATGTTTTCCCAGTTGTGAGCTTTGGGCGAGGCCTGGAGAGGGCTCCCAGAGCTGGCCCAGAAGCCATCTCCTAAGCGGGGAGGAGAGAAAGACCCAACTCCCTGGGCGCTTGGAAAGCCAGCGGCAAAAGGCGCTTCACACGGGTCCTCAGGGCCGACTTATCCAGTAGGCACAGTGCCTAGGGCCCAGGATGGGTGTTGATGTTTTCCCAGTTGTGAGCTTTGGGCGAGGCCTGGAGAGGGCTCCCAGAGCTGGCCCAGAAGCCATCTCCTAAGCGGGGAGGAGAGAAAGACCCAACTCCCTGGGCGCTTGGAAAGCCAGCGGCAAAAGGCGCTTCACACGGGTCCTCAGGGCCGACTTATCCAGTAGGCACAGTGCCTAGGGCCCAGGATACTTTTAGGGGCCCACGAAAATGTTTGAATTTCTTTGCAAATCAGAAGGGGGAAAAAAAAGAACTTTTTGGGTCGAAGAAAACGTTTTCATTTTTTTTCTCCCATCAGAAAAAAATGAAACTTCTAGGGCCCACGAAAATCTATTACATTTTGCCTAAAACAGAAAAAAAAGGTTGAAGTATTTAAAGTTGTATCAAAAATAATTTTTAATATTGATATTATGGAGGAAGGGGCCCACGAAGGAAAAAGTGCCTAGGGCCCACGAAAGTCACAATGCGGCCCTGGGTCCTCCCTCTACCCCCCACTGGCTTTTGCCCCAGCTCGTGCGCAAAGTGCCCCTCCCGCCTCCCCAGGCTCTGCTGTCCCCCCATTCCTGGAATGAATCATACAATCATAGAACACTAGAACTGGAAGGGATCTGGAGAGGTCAGTGAGTGGAGTCCCCTGCCCTCCCGGCAGGACCAAGCACCATCTAGACCAGGGTTCCCCAATTTTGTGGCCACGGAACCAGAATTTTGCGGCACCCTATCTATGGAGCTGAAAAATGTTTAAGGACAAGAAATCACGCCACTGTGCTGAAGTAAAGTATTCGCCAGCGCACTGCCTACGCGCTCCCGTACGAGCAAGCGGCTTGGCAGCCGAAGCTTCGACTTTGTCCGACGCGGCGCTCGTGTATTCGTAATTCAGTCACCCACGTGACCCACGCTCCCGGAGAGTGAGTACGGGGATTTACGGGGGTATCTCACAGGCTGATTGACTGCGAGCACGGTGCTGAGTCATGACATCATCCCCGCTCTCGGGCTAAGTGGGCGTTACGCAGGGACACTGATCGTGGCAAACACACATGGAAATTGTTTTCAATACAATTCATAAATGCTTAAATATTAAATGTGGTTTAATCGTAAAATGTTCTTGTAATGGAATTTTCTCGCAGAACCCTTATTTCCAGTTTCCCTGGGGTTCCATTTGGGCGGAATACCCTTTGATCTAGTTCAGTGTTTCTCAATCTTTTTTTATAAAGTACCCCTTTTTCAAAAACAAAAATTATAAGTACCCCCAGTACCTACAGTTTTCAGACACACCATTTTTTTTTCTACCATTGCAGCACATTTGTTTAAACAACTTAATCGTAGCCAGGCAGGCGATGAAATTTTGGGGCGTAAAAAGTACAAAAAGAATAAAACGCTGTAAAACTTAAAAATTCAGCTTTCTCCAACTTTCAGTTGTGTAGATGTACCCCCTGGACTTCTCTCGAGTACCCCTAAGGGTACTTGTACCACTGGTTGAGAAACACTGGCCTGTATCATCCCTGAAAAATATCTATCCAATCTACTCTTAAATATCTCTAGTGATGGAGAATCCACAACCCCCCTAGGCAATTTATTCCAGTGCTTCACCAGGACAGGAAATTTTTCCTAATGTCCAACCTAAACCTCCCTTGCTGCAATTTAAGCCCATTGCTTCTTGTCCTGCCCTCAGAGGTCCAGCAGAGCAATTCTTTTCCCTCCTCCTTGTGACACTGTTTTAGATTCTTGAAAAGCACGATCATATCCCTTCTCAGTCTTCTCTTTTCCAAACAAAACAAGCCCAGTTCCTTCAGCCTTCCCTCTTAGCTCATGCTTTTTAGGACCTTGAATCATTTTTGTTGCTCTTCTCTGGACCTGCTCCAATTTCTCCGCCTCTGTCTTGAAATGTGGCGAGATCAGAAATAGGGCAGGTTTTCAACAGCGCGGGGGAACAGCCATGGAGCCCTGACTCTCAGAAGCAAGGGATGGATTGCTCAATAATTTGTCCTCGTTCTGTTTGTTCTCTCTGAGGCATCTGGCTCTGTTGGAAGACGGGCTTGGGGACTAGATGGGCTATTTGGCCTGACCCGGCATGGCCCTTCCTATGGAATAAAAGCCCCAGGGAAGCAATGGATTCCCCATCTCTCTGTGTTCTTGAATCAAATGAGGTGCTTTTCTAGAAGTTGTGCTTTAGCTTGACACAAGCTACTGGGCTCAGTGTATCAGCCAGGAGCTGAAATTCTGTGCTCAGGCCTCACAAGGGAGTGATGGGGAGGGGGGAAGCGGGCAACTGCGGGGCCAGCGATTCAAAAGGGGCCTGGAGCTTCCAGCCGTCAGAGTCCTGGGCCCTTTAAATCGCCACCGGAGTGCCGTGCGGTGTGCTCCGGGCAGCACTCAGGGCTGCCAGGGGAGGCCCCGCCCCTTCCCCCCAAGACTCCGCCCCTTCCAGGGGCAACTGAAAAAATGACTTCTGGTGTCCTGCTCACGGCCCTCCTGCGGATGCATCCCGGAATCATGTTGACTTTTTTTTACAACAGTGTCACACTGTTGACTCTTATTTAGCTTGTGGTCCACTCTGACCCCTAGATCCCTTTCAGCAGTGCTCCTTCCTAGGCAGTCGCTTACATAAGAACATAAGAACGGCCAGACTGGGTCAGACCAAAGGTCCATCTAGCCCAGTGTCCTGTCTGCTGACAGTGGCCAATACCAGGTGCCCCAGAGGGAGTGAACAGAAACAGGGAATCATCAAGTGATCCGTCTCCTGTTCTCCATTTCCAGACAAACAGAGGCTGGGGACACCATTCCTACCCATCCTGGCTAATAGCCATTGATGGACCTATCCCCCATGGATCTATCTAGCTCTTTTTGAACTCTGTTAAAGTCCTAGTCTTCAGAACATCCTCTGGCAAGGAGTTCCACAGGTTGACTGTGCGCTGCATGAAGAAAAACTTCCTTTTGTCTGTTCTCGTAGCCTTGCAACAGCTCTGTGCTTGGGACTTTTTACTCTCGGGTGTGTTTGTTAGGCAGGGAAACCCCACATTGTGCATGTTTGTTGTGGCTGGATTATTAAAGCCAGATTTTGCCCCTCCCTTCCAGTAGCATAGCACAGGATCTATGTCACAGGTGCTTACCCCTTGGCACTGAACGTCCCTGGCCAGGGGGCCACCGGACTTGTTATACTGATCACTTGCTAAGTGCCCCTGGTGGTAGACCTGGTTCGGGGGAGTGAAAACAAATAAAGATCCTCCTGCTCTGACACTTTTGGGACGGGCTCTAGGCCTGTAAGGTGGGGATCCTCTAAAGCCGTGGTGTCCAACATGCTAGCCACTAGCCACGTGTGGCTCTTAGGCCGGTGGATTGTGGCTAGTTGGCTATAGAAGCCTCCAGTGTAGTGGCTTCAAAACTGGTTGGACACCAACGTTCTAAGGTATTTAGGCACCGAAGTCTCACAACAGGGAATCATCACAATGGGACGAAGGCGCTTGTCTCCCTTGAAGGATCTGGCCTAAGATCTCTGGGGCAAGGAGTGTGTGTGTGTGTGTGTGTGTGTGTGTGTGTGTGTGTGTGTTGCACCAATCACAGCGGGACCCTGATCCCCAGTCAAATCCAAAATACACTCATGGGGTTTTAGACACATCCTAAAGGAGAGCCTGGAATCATGCAGGACTCTTAGCCCCTTTTTACCCATGAGGATCAGTGCCACAAAAGACTGTTGGCTCCTAATCCCCTTGGAAATCCACAGGAGCCTAAATACCTTGGAAGATCGGGGCCTATGTGACTTCTCCAGGTTACAGAGGAAGAGTCAGGCAGAGTAGGGATGTCTGTGGTCTGCAGCCCTAGCTTGCTGGTTCTGTGCCCGTGTGTGTGTGTGTGTGTGTGTGTGTGAGAACAACTCAGCAATTTGTGCTGGGATGACTGTGTATGTCTGCGTGGGAGGACCGGCTTTGCCCCTGCATTGCTGTAGTTCATTGTAAGCCAAGCGCTTGGGCAGCCACCCAGCTGAAATTCAGGTGTTTCCTGGCTGATTAGCAGGGCGCCCATAGCCGGCAGCCTGTGTTTATACTGGTGGTGCACATCCGCTTGTGCCTCGGTGCGCAGAACAAAATTTATTCTGCACATCGATGGAAAAAAATTAGAGGGAACATTGCTCACAGGGTGATGAACAGACTCGCTCCACTGAGGCAATTTGCTCTGCTGGGGTAAACCCCGGTCTACACTAGGCCGTTATTTCAAAATAACTCCCCTTCGGTCGAATTTATAAGCGAAGCGTCCACACGACCAAGCCTGTTATTTCGAAATAACAGGCTGTGGAATTTGAAATCTTCACCCCTGCTTTTCATCGGGAGGAACGCTCATCCCGAAACTGTTATTTCGAAATAGCGGTCGTGTGGACGCGCCAGTGCCGCTCTTTCGAAA